GGTCCCCCGGGGGGCTTAGCATCAGGCCTCCAGGGGCCCAGCGGCCGCCGCACGAGCACCCAGGTCTGAGCGCTCCAGGCTCCCGCCCAGCGCTTCCCAAGCAGCTCAGCTTGACAGGTGTCCTCCTGGGCGCTCACTTTCCGGAAACTAAACTGGAGCAGAGAAAGGGAGACTTGAGAGCAAGACCTGGGGCCGCTCCCGAGACTTTCTCTGCGGGTGCGGGTCAGAACGCCTGGGAATCTGTCTTCTGCGCGCCCCTCCCCTCAGGGCGGGCTGGTCAAATACTTTAGGGACACAGGACCCAGTAAGCTTAATTCTGCGTGTGCCTGTGCGGTCCTAACGCAAAGGGTAGGGAAGGTGGGTGAGGGGGAGTTGAAGATGAAAGGACTTTGAGTTTGACTCAGGCAACTTGGACTCTGGTCTCTATCAGCAGCAGCTGTGTAACCCTGAGGAGTTACTTAGCCTCGGACTTGCAGTCCTCATCTTTAAATCCAGGGGGTAGATGATCCCTGAGGTGCCTCCAGATCTAACTTTTTATAATTTTTCCTGCACTGATTTTAGGGATTCAGCCCCTTGCCATGTTAGATGCTCAGGAACCAGGTTGCCAAAACGCGGGATAAATGTTAACCCTGCTAAGTCAATGTATCCACAGTCTTAACTCTGAGGAGGGAACAGGCCCAGCTCTGTATGGTGCCCTCAGCCTGGAGGCAGTAGGGTTTCCTCTGCACCTCTTCCTCCTCCCAGCCCGGGGTGGGGAACAGCCCACCCTTTTTCAGAGCTTTAGTGGGAGGGAAAGGGGGCTGCCCCAAAGCCCTGCCTGAAACTGCAAGTCTGAGCCTGAGGCAGAGTTGGTGAGGGTCTTGTTAACAGTCCCCATAGAATAATTCACAACCTGTACTACATGGAAAGCGAATATTCCCTGGACGGTATCTGAGCAGATTAGGCAGGCCAAACAACTTGTAAGTCCTTCAGAGAAAGATCAAGTTCCTCTCCAGGATTTTATCAGGTTTCTTCCACTAACCCAACGGCCCAGGAAGGAAAACATACCCTGACCTAATGGTCAGAACAGTAGATCTGTGTGCCTACAGGCTGCACAGCACGGAAACTCACCAGGACCCTTTAAAAGCCATATGTCAACCCAGCCACAGCATCTGTACATGGGCAATATACAGACGCGTGGCCCACAGGGGGCTGACTCCCCCCAGCCTGGAGCTCAGCACGGGGCAAGAGTAGGGACTCAGGAGTTATGCTCTGGGATCCAAACCTGGCCTAGCCTCCTCCTTGCAATGTGGCCTTAGCCATGTTACAACCTCTTTAAGCCTCAGTTTTCTCTTCTGTAAAGTAGGTGTAAAAATTCTTCCGTCTTAGGGTTGTTATAAGGATGAAAATGAGATAAAGAATGAAAAGCATTTTGTCCCGCAGATAGGAATGTGCTCAGTAAATTCCAGCTGCCTGGGTGGCAGGGGGCCAGTCATTTCTCCTCTCTGGGCTTCAGTTTTCTCCATCTATAAAATGAGGCCACTGAACTAGAGAAACTCTTGGAGGGACCATATATTATTGACTTTTATCCACTGTGCCTAACATAACAGAGGAATTCGTTAATGTTTCCTTGAATGAACAGGTGCTACAGACAATTCATCAAACAGACTATTGTGAGCATCTGCTGTATACTAGGCTCTGGGATCCTTAAGTGAATGAGACACACTCTGCCCTCCAGGTGTCCAGCATGAGTAGGGGTGTAGGAGTACCGAGGAGGAAGAAATGGAAATGACCAGGGCAGAGCAGACAGAAAAAGACTTCTCTGAAAAGGGAAGTTTTTAAACTGATTTTACAGGAAGGGTAGTGGTTAGTTAGAGAGGAGGGTATTGTACGAGCCAAGGGAAGAAAAGGAAATGTTTGATGGTGGTCGGATAGAAGGTTTATTTGGGGGTGAACTGGGATATGAGGCTGGAAAGGTAGATTGAGGGCATATGGTGAAGGGACTTGAATTCTGGCTGCAGATGTTCATGTCTTATTGTGAGATACTTTTCTCCTCCCGGCTGTCTCACCTAGGGCTATGTTTAGAGGTTGAAGACCATGGTGTCCAGTTGTGGATATAGAGTAACACAGAGCCAAAATTTAAAAATCCCTTGGTACAACATCATTGATCCTCAGACTAATGGGTTAACACAACAGGTCCTTGGACTCAATCATTTCCATTTCACCACTGTTGAGATTCTGCCCCATAAATAGCCTGACAGCCAGCCAGACCCAACCCAGCTTCATGAACTGCACCACTCATGACCTTTCTGTCACCGAGGGCTAGGACAAGCAAACCATGACTTGACTCAAACAACAATTTCCTCTGTACTGGACAGGTCTCTTGGTCCCTGCATAGGATCAAGAGAGGTGGGCTGGACAGCCATGTGCTTTAGTCTATATCCCTGTTCCCCAGCTGATTGGCCATGACTCAAGGACAGATCCACAGGCTAACCAGGGACCTAGTGTGTGGCCTGTCAGGCAAAGATGGACCGGGACACTCTCGCACTGCAGTTTGAACTAAAGAATGTGGAAAGCGTGAATCATTAGCTGAGGCTGCTGAAACAAAAAGGTTTGCAGTCTTGGGCTGGAGATGCCTGTATGAGTATGGTTAAGGTTATTCACAAATATTTAGGCTTCTCCCTAATCAGGGTCTTGGTAGGATCGCATATCTCTGTCCACCCTTCCCCAATTAAATTAGGTATGGCCATTTGATTTGCTTTGGCCAAGGAAGTATGAACAAAAGTGACTTATGGTGGACACTTAAAGAGTCTGCATATGCCTCATCATGGTCATTTTTAAGATTGTTGCTGCTCTGTCATTCTGGGTTCCCAAGTGGCTACAATCAGCAGAACATCCCCTGTCCCCTCAACTAACGCTTGGTGGACATGTAGCAAGAGTGAGCTATAAACTTTGCTATTTCAGGGCACTGAAATCTGGGGCTTGTGTGTTAAAGAAGCATAACTAGCTTCTCCTGACTAATATAGCACACTATACCAACTAAGTTATGGGGAAGCAGAGAGGTCTGGTTATAGAGGAAGGAGAATGGAGCAGACATAGCAAGATAAAGAGAAGCACCATTGAGAGAAAGAGACTGGGAGATTATGACCAAATTTCAGTTCCTGAGGTTACCTGAGAGGGTCTGTGTTCCATGGGAGCCTGCTCAACATCCTTGGCCTTGAAGTTCTGTGTGTACACTAAGAATGTTCATGAAATGTTCAGATTTTCCCCAGTGCTTGGCATTTAGTCATTCCTCAATAAATGTTTGTTGAATGATTGTTCATTGGCTATTAGCCATACAAATAAGTAGGAGAAACAGTGTCTGGGAAGGAACTATTAGAAAACTAGGCTCAAAAGACTTATTTCATTTCAAAATACGGACTCTTTTATTTTCTGAAGAATGAATATAAGTATTATAATAGGGTAGGACAAATGTCCCACAAGTATTTACTGGATACCTTTTGTGCACAAGGCATTTAACTAGACTTTATGGGATAAAAGGAGGTGGATAAGAGACATGGATCTTTTCCTCTAGGAAAAGTACCTTCATCTATATATGTTGCGGGGTAAAACTCTCTCTCTGGGGGTCATTTAATGTGTATTTCCAACTGTGTTACCATTGGCCCAAATGCTACCTGGGCTCCCCTATAGCTGTGAGGAGCCCCTAGCTCAGGTGTTCTAGAACTTTAATAGTAAATGTACTGCCCCCGCTCATATAAGAGCGCCCATACTTGCCATACTACATTTCCCAATATTTGTTTAGAAAAGAGAGTCAACACTCACTTGAATATATACATCAAGGGTTGTTTGTTTAAAAAATAACAGAACAAAACAAAACCTTATTACTTGATAGTCACACCTTGTTTAACAGCAAGAGCTCCCTGTGTTCCCTGACTCCCCCAGAGTCATCAGTGCTGACTCAGGCAATTAAGGGAAAGTGAAGAATCTATAATTAAACTCAGAGACAATTGCTTCTTCCACTGGGCTCTGGAATGCAGCACGTTATGCTCAGGGCTCATTGTCCCACGGAACAAGATACAGCGTGTTCTCCTCACATACAATAGAGTTTTCTTTCTCAAGGACCTGTGATACTGCCATCAGGACACAAAGAAAATAGGTTCTGCTTCCAGGGAGAGCTTGGGTCTCTGAGAAGGTCTTTAGGCCATCAAGGATGCCTTTCTTCATTGCTGAGTGCTACATGGCTGGTTGTGATTATGCTGTGAAGCCCCTGAGTACACTGGCTACCTATGAGGTTTGCACAGGCATAACGGTTCTCCCAGTCCCCAAAAGGGCAATGACTTTTCCTGCCTTGCATCTCATCTTCTGTCTTTCGACAGGAGCAACTATGTAGAGATTCAATCATTTAGCTGTTTCAAGAATGGCAACATTGCCCCAAGGTTGTCAAGTTTAAAAAGCACTTTCCAGTTTATTATCTCCTCATAGCCTCTTATGCTAGTATTAGGATGCATGCTATAATTCCCACTTTATAGCTTAGAAAACCAAGGGCAGTGTGTGGCTCGAGGTTAACCAGCTGGGAGGTGGCAATGCAGGGACAAGAGAGAGGATGTCCCAGGTCCCGGCCACAGTCTCTTTTCATTAACTATTCTCTAGCCTGTTCTTACATTAATATTTGATTTCATGTCAATGTGCAAAGTGCGGAAGTCCCAGAGAACTTCAGCGTATTCCCAAGAAATAACCTGGAGGACTGGCTGTGAAAGACATGGGTTTATTAGGAGTGACATGTGTTCCAGTGGCAGCGACTGGTGAAGCTTACCACCACACTGCTGCCACCAGTGAAGATGAACCATTAAGTCCCATCCAGCCTGCAGATAGGCTGCACTGGGGGCGGCCGGCCAGTGCTATTGTTTCACTACCACCCAGACTTTCCCAGCACAAGGTTTTATGGAGTACAGAAAACAGAGAAAAAACAGGGCAAGCAGGGGGAGGGGGATGGGCCTGTGTGAGATCAAAACACTAGCTGTTTACAATCCAGGCTCACATCTAGAAGCAGTTTCTCTTTGGCCTTTCTTCTGGCCAGGTTCCCAAGGTCTCACAGTCCACTTGTAGAGGGCCTTCATTATATTTTCCACAGGCCTGGAGGGGAAGTTGGAGCATGGGAAGGGGCCCATGTTCCCATTTACCGTACACATATTTAAAAGCAACACATTATAAGGTGAAGGGGAGATGAGAGGGGGCTGCCAGAGGTCTTTTCTACATGTGAACATGGTTAAAAGGTGAGAGTAGTGAAGCTGGGACTACAGGGGTGTCTTATCCTGCATGGGCCAGCTTAGTACTGCATCCCAGGCTCCTAAACCCACCCCACACTCAGCGAATGGGAGAACCTGGTGAGAAAGTGTGGTTGGGCCAAGGAAACCTTTCCTACTCTTGTGTTTGTGGTCCCAAACGGGACAAAAAAGGATATGTTGACAAAGGTAGAAAGTCAGGTATGTTCATTTTGTTCCTAGTAGCTTCTAGGGAGAGTTTGAGGCGATCGTTAGAAATCTACACCTGAGTCTCTCAAAACCCCTGGGTTGGCCAGGGAATGAGCACCACTAATCAATCCAGGCAGCAGGTTTGGGGGAAATGAAGACAAACGATGTGGTCAGGACAGCATGTAGTGCCTCCTCAAGCCCCAGCCTGTGCAGGAATAAAAGCATCCCCAGGCTTTGCAGTCCAGAAACCTGAGCCAGCCTCAGGGGCCACATCTAAACGTTGGAATGGTTTTAATCATTACTTCCCAGCAAATCCCACATTCTTTTTGTATTGGAGGCCACCTGTTCATTTTTATATTTTTATACTTGCTTCTCAAGTTTCCAATGATGTCCTTAACGGGAACACATGTGAAGGTGACCTTTGCAGCCTCCTGAGTGGCAAGCGGAGCTCCGCTCTGACTCTGCAGACGGTGAAACCTGATGCAAAGACGCCCGTGGGTGTGGACAACCCCAGTGCCTCCTGCTCTAACTGACACCTACCTACCACTCATCAGGGCTCTAGGAGGGCCACTGTGATCGGAAAATCCAAAATTGGGATTTCTGAAATTTAGTTCTTGCGCCTATGCCATGAGCTGCCAAAAGCTTAATTTTGGGTTGATGCTGTTTGGTTTGGAGGACTATGGGCAGGCCCCAGGTTACTGAAAATAGGCAGCGGACTCCCTTGTTTTTGTAAAGCCTCTATCTTGGCTGACTAGCAAATTCCTTCTTCCCAAGCAGTTTCTACTGGGACACCGGCTTCTCCTTAAGAGAGCCTGTCTTCTTTTACTTAATTATTAAATTTACTGGGGTAACATTGGCTAATAACATTATATAATTTTCAGATGTGTAACATTATAATTTGACATTTGTGTACTCCACTGTGTGCTCACCACCCGAGGTCTAGTTTCCTTCCGTTACCATGAATTTGTACCTACTTTACCCACATTGATCTTCCCCCTCTCCGCCTGGTCACCACCATTCTGTTGTCTGTATCTACTAGTTCTTGATTTGGTAGAAATTGCTGTTTCTCAATAAAAATGTTCCTTTGCGTATGTTTTCTCTAGAGGATTCTTTCTACCTCAGTCACTCCAGTGGAGAAGGAAGTCAGGCCTTCCTCACTGCTTGAGGCAGAAGAAACTATTCTTTTCCTGAGGTCCTGCGGCTCAAGGAGGGAGCTCAGGGCTGCCGGCAGGGTTCCAGAAGAGGCTGGGTATTTTTAGCATGGCCTTCTTTCCTTACCAGCACCTGCCATGATCTGTAACCCAAGGGGCTACTTAAATACCAGTGAGATGACTGAGGACAAGGCAGCCTGAGCTAATGTCCTAAAATACCACCCAAGGGAGGCTTTTCTTACGGGAGTCATTTCATTACTAGCTCTGTTCCTTTTCTTGTTTCCCCCCAACCTGTGGAGCTGCTCTAGCTCCTGGCTGAGATGGGTGGCATCTGCCTTGGGAAGAGATTGGAGAAAACCACTGATCTGTGTCCCTCGATGCCAGGCAGTTTTGTTATGTTGATTCTGCTCTTGGCTCCCAGCTTCAGTCTTTCCCTCTACTGTTCACGCCAGATGGAAGCAACAAGAGAATGTCTACACATCCTTCCCCGCAGCAAAGTTCTCTTTTGATATCCATAAAAATATATGAAGATGAGAAACAAAGTCCAGGGAATGTTCTAGCTCAGACGATGGTAATGGGGGTGCAAACAGCTTTCTCGTAGTGGGTGCAACTCATTGATCTTGTTATCCTCTAAAGGTGGGACGAAAATGGAAATACGTTCTCAAGGAGCCTGATACATTTGTGGAGGACAGATGCATCGTGGGTCATGAAGGATGAGACTGTCTTAGGATGTGTCTAATCCTGGAGTGTGACATCAGCCCACACTATCCACAGCGTTCCTTGGTGCCACCAGCAGACGTACAACACCGGGCGGATAAATTCTAGGGCTGGCCGGGTGTGGAAGTTTTTACGGGCCTCTGAGCATTTCTCTGGCTACTCTAAATTCTCACAGATGCCCTGGAGGGCCTGGTTCTGAAGTTAAGAGCTTATTTCAAAAGGAACCGAACCAGAACTTAAATATCTGAATGGGTTTTGTGCCCTTTAAAGTGGTCGGTTTTCATTTAGTTGAGTGAAAAAATACAAGCAGTGAATCATACATATGGTGATACAATGTAGTAAAAATTTTATCTATGATATATAATAGATCTCATATACATGTGTAATATATATATGTACATATATATATATACACACACACATACAAGCATAAAAACATTTGAAAAGTTGCACATCAATCTGATAACTGAATTCCCTTCCTCTGAGGAGGCAGGAGGGGGATTATGGTTAAATACGGTGGAAAAAAGGGAGTAGAGCCATATCTTTAAGGTTTAGTTTGAATAAGTAGAATATTTTCATGAATTATATAATTAAAGTGTTAGCAATTTCTTATTTTTCTTTACGGCTATTTAAAAATGTATTCCTAAGTATCTCACAGAAAATTCTGGAGAGCTTATAATTGCTGGAGTCTCTCACAGGAAGGGAAATACACTTTGGCATGTATACCACTCAGAGCCACACAGCAATGAAAAATCAATTAAAAAATAAAGCAGTCGAACTCCTCCAGGGCACCTCACTGTTTTTTTTCTTTAAGTACCTATTATTTATTTGTCAGGCATAACACCGGGCACTAGACATTTAAGGAACAACCCAGCATTCTGGCCTTACATGAGCTCCTTTGCAATTGCTTGTGGCAATTGCAAAAATCTAAGCTACTCACTGGAACTGCCATTATTGCTATTTTATAAGCCACCCCATAAAATTAGTTTCATTATGCCCTGGCCAGTGTGGCTCAGTTGGTTGCGCATCGTCCTATGCACCGAAAGGTTGCTGGTTCTGCTCTTACATCAATGTCTCTCTCTCCCCCTCTCCCTTCCTCTCTCTAAAAATCAATAAATTTTTTTTTTTTTTAAATTAGTTTCATTACCTTACCATCCTATTTTTGGATCAAAAGCAACATGCCCCCAGCTCAGTCACTTTATCAAATTTGCTGCACCTGGTTCCTGATGACTAAAGGATATTTCCAAAATGCCAACCTACTTTCAAAGACTTGACTCATGAGGCAAAGTTAAAAAGATGTGCTACAGAGTCTAAGGTAATGGAGATGGCAAGTATGGAGCTCAAAAATACTTCGGGAAATAATACAAATAAAAGAATGTACATCAAAATACTGTATTTACTATAGTTTTCTTAGATGATGGAATTATGAGATAGTTCTGAAAAACTTTTTATAGTTTCCAAAGCTTCGAAAATGAACATGTTTTACTTTTATAAGAATAAAAATAAATAAATGTTCAAAAACTCCTTTAATCATCAGCAACAATGTAAACATGAGGGCTCCCAAAGGGACACTTTTGAAAGAGAGAGGCTTATGGCTCTGAATTCCCTGTTAGGTCATATTCTGCATGTTTCCTATTTCACAATCATGGGCTATTTGTGTACATGTCTTAACGCCTCTCCTAGACAAACACTCCTTGAGTACTAACCCCCTCCTCACTGCACCCAGCTTAGGACTTCCACTGAGTAGTAACCAGTAATAACAGCAGTGGACTCTCACTAAATGAGGCCTGAACGAGGCTACGAGTTGAACCCAGTTTAGCTCCAGAGTTCACCTTCTTGACCACTAGATGTATCACTCCTCCCAGCGCTTGATGAGAATAGACCTACAACATGTTTATCGGGTAAACAGATATTCCATGCGTACATTAAAAATTATAGTTATACAGAAAGTAGATTTCTAAAATGTTATTCTTTAAAATAGCATGAAACCCCTGTAAATCTGTAGGAAGAAATCTAATAAAATATGTGTAAGACCTCTGCACTCAAAACTGTAAAGTATTATCCAATAAAATTAAAGGAGACTCAAATGCAGAGAGTGACCTTGTTCATACATTGGAAGCCTCAATATTGTGAAGATGTCATTTATCCCTAAATCAAATCCATATTCAATGAATCTCAGGGAAAATTACCATTGTACTATCTTGTTGTTACACATCATTAAGAGCAGCAATGGGAAAGCCAGCAGCCAGAGGAGAGAAAGCAAAGGTCACTCTGGCCTGTTTGCATCTCTGCTCTCTCTTCCTCAGTCTTGAATCTGAGCAAAGCTGGGGGTGGAGGGGGTTTGAGCTCCTGCTGGGAATGATGTGCTTCCCCCAGGTGTGAGGTCAGCGGGGAAGCTGTTACTCTCCTACTTCTCTCCCCAGGAAGCTGGTGAGGTTAGTGACTTCTCAGGCATCAGCCAAATTTCTCCAAGGCAGTTGCTCTCTGGGTTCCTCGGTTCCTCCAGTACAGGGGACTCAGGTGGGTTTGCTCCTCGGTGTCATAATTTTTTCTTGGTGCTTGCCTAGCTGGTGAACCTGGATGCCCGCTCATTGCCAGAGGCAAACAAGCCCTGAGAAGTCACCACATAGTCACTGAGCATACCTGGCCCGGTGCAAGGCCAGGCCACATTCCAGCCTCCTGTCCAACCCGACAGCCAAGTGTGTCCAGTTTCAGAAGTCAACATCGTGATGTAGATTGCCTTGTCTGAGGGTAAAAATGCCTTCTTACGCTTTGGAGTCACCCAGGCTAGAGTCTGAATAGGCCCTTAATCTCTCCCAGCCTCTGTTT